AACCTACAAGCTGGTTTTAGAGCAGAATATGCTGAAGCCTTGAATGACCTCTCGTTCTTTGAATCGCTCATAGACGCCACAGAATCGTACATTGGCGATTTATGTCATGAACTCAAAGTGCCACGCGAAGACATTGAGGACTGGGAGGATATTTTGTACGACACGATAGAACAAAAAGTGGTAAGAGGGAGGTTGCTAAGCCTCTTACGGGCCACATAGATTTTGCTGCAGCTAGGACATCTTTTCAACAATTGCACAAGAAGGTGGTGTTTACGAGAGTCGACAAAGCGGCCAACTGCATCTGTATCACTTGCAAGGCGTGCTACATTAGGTTAGCCAAAGCAGAACTTGAAGGACCGGGGTATAGGACAGTACACGGAGAGTTGGAGCTGGTGAAACAGACGACCATTGACCGACAACACAAGTTTTTGCTAGATGAAAAGTTGCCCATCCCACAGCAGCAGTACAAAGACGAGGATGGTGACACTCAGTATGAAAACACTGGTAAGTTACCCACACGATACCTCACTGCTAAACTACATAATAATAAGCCGTTGGTAGCTACACGTGGAATTACGGCTTGTTGTGGTACGATAACAGAAGGGAGGGGTGGCTAAGGTAGTCAACGCAGTCCTCGTTGGTATGCGGCCTTGTTTACACACGATCTGGCGTGAAGAATGCGCAAAAGTTGGTATTGCTGCCAAGGAATGTTGGATTACCTCTAGCGGGGAAAGTCTTCTAGAAGTAGCACAGGATATCGATATTCGAGCACAAATGGAGGGATGTACTGATGCGCATGTCTTCCAAACATTTGACTTCGTTGGTATGTACCCTAATATCCCTGTAATACCATTGAAGGAAAAATTGAGGGAAGCTGTGAAATTGTCGTTTGAACACCAAGCTGAGAGACATGGGTTTAAGTCGATGAAGTTGAGATGGAGTATTGGGCCTGATAATAAGAAACCATTTGTTGGAGACATCGAGTGGTCGAAGGAAAACCCGAGCAACGTAACATCTAGCCGAGGTCGAGCGAATTACATTGGATGGGAACGGGTCTGTCTGTAAATGGATAGATTTTATTTTGGATGAAGGGNTTGAACACCAAGCTGAGAGACATGGGTTTAAGTCGATGAAGTTGAGATGGAGTATTGGGCCTGATAATAAGAAACCATTTGTTGGAGACATCGAGTGGTCGAAGGAAAACCCGAGCAACGTAACATCTAGCCGAGGTCGAGCGAATTACATTGGATGGGAACGGGTCTGTCTGTAAATGGATAGATTTTATTTTGGATGAAGGGTTTGTACAATTTGGGAACGGCATGTACCAACAAGCCTCTGGTATCTTTATGGGAACGGCACCAGCTCCCGAACTAGCGAATATTTTTGCGTTTATGCATGAATTCGATTTTTTGAAGGAAATGGTGGATGAGTATTTAACTGCTACACTCGCTGGGACTACATCGTTGTATCCATTTGAATTTATTGAGCAGTACAGCATTGGTACAAAACGGTATTATATAGATGACATTTTTACGGTGCGATATCATATGGTAACCAGACTGGACCAACATTTGAAGATATTATATATAAGGAGGGTAATCAATATGGTGGTATGTACCCAACGATGGTGTTAGATTCGAATGGTGATGA